TGCTCCGTCTGAGAGAATATACGGCAATATTCTCCTCAGGAGCACCCGCTCAAACAACTTGGCCACGTGCGACAGCAAGGTAATCGGTCGATAGCTGAAGGGCCTTCTTCTGTCCTTGCCCGGCTTGGGCAAGACGATAATCTTGCCCATTTTCCAAGTTCCGGCGAAGTGTCCTACCCGGAGAATGGAATTAAATAATCATGTCATTGCTGACACGATTGAAGGAGGGAGGTTTTGTAAGGCGAAGGTTGGAATACCGTCCTCGCCGGGAGCTTTGCGCCTTTTTAACGATCTGATGAGGAGGCGCAACTCGCTAGAAGTGACTAAGTCGTCATCTCCCAGCTCGACTCCCGGTGATTCCGGTTTAAGGAATTGGATTACGCCCTCTGAGTCCTCTGACACCTCCCGAAGGAATGCAACCATCGAGGGTGCAGAGACATTCAGAGTAAACTGCTGCTCCAGCGAGTTTGCCAGGACTTCGGCGCGAGCCAACGGCATAAAACACCGAGTTCCCACCTCGTCCACCAAGGGACAAGTGGAGGAAGGCTTGTGGGTGAGCCGGCGACAGGTGCGGTGAATGGGGGCCATTGTACGATCGTCGGACGCGTTTGGCATTGCTGATGCCCATGATATGGGGCATAACATTTTTGTTATTGGTATGTCCACCCGAAGCTAAGTGACTATTGGAGTTCGTATACATCACAGAAGAATATAGCTGCCATTATAGCTGCTATAGCAGTCTTGCAGTCAGCATGGTTGCTTCGCACCACAAATTTTAAGGATGGATGGTAACGAAAGCTAATTTTGTAGTGTGCTGGTATAGTTCTAGGATAACGCTGGTGCCCATTTTCCGGTGAATCCTCGGTTGTCTTTACAACACCCGCAAAAAAAGATAAGTAATACTATTGTAGGCCGTCATATATTTTTTTTATGATTGAAGGATTACTGGTGGCCCACCTATCCTGGTGGGCCAGCAGAGGCTCAGCCAGAAGGGGTGGAATTTACTAACAGCTGCCTGAGCGCCTCTGAAGGAGACCTAACAACTCAAGAGCAGTTGCTTCGCGAATGAATCTACTACCGGACCGGAATCGCGACCCGCTGAGAAGATCCGGTTAGGCTTAGGTTAGGTTGCACGTCGACCTCTTTGTCGAATTCAACGAGTACGGCTACCGGGGTCCGTAAGCCTGCTCCTAGTGTTAAAGTTGAAGGCGTCTAAGGCAAAGGTTATTAGATCTGATAGATCCGTAAGGACGTCTAGGGCGTCGACGGTGACTGGCTCCTGAATGATCAGGATTCGAGGAGTAGTCAGCGGCGGCAACGATAAGGCGATTATAATGACGGAAGTACCGTTCCAACGCTGACTTCATGTATTTTCGGAATGATTCGAGGCCCAGATCGTCGTGTAGGTCAACGTTCCTCACGAACCTTGGAGCTCTGACAGCTAACCTGCAAAAACGGGACTGTAGAGGTTGAAGGGTGTCTATGTGCGTGCGGGCCACGTGAGCGAACATCACACTCGCGTAAGTCATAGGCCTTAGGCAGGTTTTGTAAAGTGTCACCTTGTTCCGAAGGGACATTTTACTCCGCTTACAGATCATGGGGTAGAGTCTGCCGAAAATTAACGCGGCACGGTCGCGGACTGATTTTATATGCGGGTAGAATGTCATCGATGCATCCAGGGTGACGCCCAAGTACTGGACCTTCTTGGCCTAGGGTATGGCTTGTCTAAAGAGAGTAATCGGGGGTGTGAGATTCCTCCTCCTAATCCGGGAGGAAATCCGTATGGAGCTTCTCCTTTGAAATAGCACCGCAGTACTTTTCGCTGGGATGATGTCTATGCGCGATTTTCGGAACCACTGTCCTAGGGCTACGGCTGCTGTAGGCCATCACTGCACAGCTTAAGTGTGTATATTTTCTTATGCCCATGTAATATGTATATGCGAGTGGGTAAAAAAATTAGAGTTCAATTTATTTCAGTAACATAAAGGTTATTTTATTTTTATTAGTTTGTCCTGTGGATCACGGTAAAATGTGTGACATTTCAAGTATTATCCAATGTGGTATCACGTAACTTGTTCATAATAACTATATTTAATCAATTCGACACAGTTATGTTAACAGCATTCAACTCAATTCGTAGAATTACTAAAAGAAAGAAACAATGATAGTGTATAAGTATATTGCTTTATTTATTACAATTATAGGCAAATAGATTTAAACCATAAGATTTGTGAGCTAAAACATCAGGTATAAAATTATTGATAGTCAAGAATCACAGGAAACATATTGCTAGATTGAAAAATAATTTCTCGTGTTTTGACTTAATCTCTCATAATATCACTTGTGAAAGATGTAATCTAAATCATAAAATACATGCTAATATATACGAGCTATTAGATTTTAAATCCACAAAAGAAGACACTTTGCTACTCCTAAAATACCTACGTATATAATATTCTAATACAAAAATACATAATAAACGTTTAGGCTAAGAAGATTACCCTAAAATAACGTACAAAGCGCGATCCCTACTACTAGTACATTAATTACACTTGAATCAATTACAAGAACTTTATTGATTATTAAACGTGGTGTATTGTATTATTGCTCCGTGTTACAAGAATATTGATATTTTTGTTCTTCAGATCAAACTATCCTAATCACGAATAGATACACTACAGTAAGCTTAAAACGTTGAATATCACAATAATTCTACTAAATTTAATAAACAGATGGAATGAGGAAACCTTGTAGGTGGAGTCTCGGTTATCCGTAAAGAAATTATTACGTAACGTGTGAAACTCTTCGAGTCCGTGTAGGTATCCGCGTGCATCATTGTTACATCGTAAGTATTTATAATTCAAGGAACAATAAATCAACCATTAATAATAATTACGAACTATCTCTGAAATAAATTACATCACAGCCTCTCTTAATGGCTTAGTGGATCGGGAATCTCTTAAAAAATAAAATTATTAATTAAAAATTATGTGAATGTGTACTAATAACATTAATTATTAGTAATTTTTTAATTATAAAAAACTGTCAATTGATAAGTTTTATATCATCAGTACATTGTAGGATTCAAAAAAGTTAGAATTAAAATGGTTTTGTACCCTTTTAAAGTTAAAATTGAATTCCAGGTCATGTTAATTTGAACAGGGTTAAAAAATCCATTATGTTTCACGCTCTCCTAACACAGCCGTTCATTAAATAATTGAGTAGTATTTAAAATTCGTAGCCAATGCAGTTAAAATAATGTAATATTACACAATTTGCAATCTGTGACGACGCGATTACCTTTTTAAAGCTTTACACTACTGAAGGTCGTGGTTGACCATGATATCAATAGTTTTAGATATTAAAAAAAATTGGTTTACTGAAAGATAGTATAAAGAAATATAAAGATAGTATACATAGTACATATAAATATAGTTATAAAGAAGTGACGATTAATGTAAATACTATTTTAATAGTTGACGTACATTTACAACTAACAATATCATTTGTTTGGACTAAAATGACCTCTATTTAGACACTGACATCCAATTTTAACGCACTAAAATAGCTTCAATTCAAAACTTCTACAATGTAGAATCTACATTATTTGAACTATAATAATATTTACTATGTTTCTATAACATTCATTACTCATCTAAGTTTGTAAATATTAAATCTCACGCCTACGGATAAAGTTGATTGCACATCTAGTATGTATTTAAATGGATCAAGCATTAATATTGATACCACTAAAAGATGAGTCGATTTCTTTTCCAATTTCACCCCAGTAATTAAATACGATACCCAGTTTTTAGCAGATATATGTATGTGCCTCGTAATTTATTTTTAAAGCAGAAGAGCTGAAAATTCGTTGTGATTACACTTCAGCTCAATAGACAAAATAGAATAAACATTATTTCTGTTGTGTTTCATTATTATTTAACAGTGTGTGCCAAGGCCAAAAGTCAAGTAAATTAATAGTCATTTTTATTATGACAATATATCTCGCCGGAATTTATAATCAAACGCATTTGATGCAGACGTAATCACTCCAAGTAAAAGTTTAATTAAATACCACACCGGCTTACACAACGAGTTTATGTTAGGGCGCCCGTCTCATCCGACGTTTAGTCAAGTAGTTTAGTAGCTGTGGCATTTGTTTCTATCGCACACGGGATGTGTGTATGTTCAACAGTTAAAGAAATTATTGTCGATGGTGGGTATACAACTAAATGAAAATAATTAATGTGACTTTATATTATGTTTTTATTATTTTCCCACCATTTTTCAGGTGTTGCATGCAATTCGTGAACATTAACATACTTTCACCAATGTCTAGGATTCTTAATGGAAATGTGTAAATAGATTTAAATATACTGAGACCTTAGAACTTATATCTCAAGGTGGGTGGCGCATTTACGTTGTGGATGTCTATGGGTTCCAGTAACCACTTAACACCAGGTGGGCTGTGAGCTCGTCCACCCATTTAAGCAATAAAAAAAAAACTTAATTATATGTATTAGGAAATTAAGATCATAATTTTTTTTAGGCCTGGCACTAAACGATTACTTATAGTCATTACAACATAAATGTTCTTGAGATTTTACATTACCATCACCAAGGGTTTTTATCTTTGGATTTTATAGTTATCTTTAACATTTAAAACTGAGAAATAATAAGTTTATTATTAACTTATTTGGATATTATTTTTTATGTGATCTCAGTTTAATTAGTTATTTTGATTTATTTTGCTTTCTTGTATGAAATGGAAAATTTTTTATTCACGTTTAAGCATAAAAAATATATATTATTATTATTTTTCTTTTTTTCTTTTATAGATTATATAGGTGGACGAGCTCACGGCCCACCTGGTGTTAAGTGGTACCCGGAGCTTAGAGACATCTACAACGTAAATGGCGCTACCCATCTCGAGACATGAGTTGTAAGGTCTCATTTTTAACAGTACAACGGCTGCCCCATCCTTTACACGGAAACGTATTATTGCTTCACGGCAGAAATAGGTAAAGTGGTGGTACCAACCAGTACGCACTCACAAGATGTCCTAGCGCCTACACGTAATATACGATTACGTCTTTGTCTCTCTTTTAGTCCACAGACGTAGACTGCTGGACATAGACCTCCCCAAAGCCTCAGCACAAACTAGGGATAAAATATGTGAAGCTGACTTCATATTAGATAAGTCAATAAAATACAATCGCTTAAAATGAAATCGTAAATGAAGAGTACTGCATTAACTTTCCGAATGAAACACATTTAACAAAAATCAAAGACTTAGAGAACAAAGGTAGAAAAACGCGAAAATTAATGACGTAATCAATACTATTAGAATTTGAATACAACTTCGACTGAATTGGAGTAAGGAATCTATATGATTTTGTTGATGGAACTGTTAAGTTTTCTTTTTTGTTTCACCTGCTTAACTTAAAGGCAGGTTTGTGAAAAACATGATTCATGTCAAATTTATGTCATCTTAAGACTGTAGTAGTGGACGGTCAGCTTCGTTCCGTGAAAGAGCACCATCCTCGCTAGATCCCGTAACATCACCGTTTGCCAGGAGGGCATCTCCTGGACTCGCATCAGACACCGATTCTTCGACCTGTAAGGTGGAATCCACTTTTATTTTTTATTTACAAGAATGTTCTAGAATCCAAGAGCTATAATAAAAATATCAACATTTCAAAGAAACCAGCTCTGTCTTTATTCTATTGATGTTCTTACGAACATGCTCCAGTGAACAGATTTCAAGGACGTTTGAAATTAGATATCGATTTAAAATTGTTTCATCAAGATTTAGTCTACGAAGAAGTGTAGCGATTAGGAGATAGAAGGATAGAGGATAGAAGTGTAATGATGTAGCCCTGTGAAAACGTAATGAAATACAACTTTGATAATCACAATGTTCATCACACATTACAAAACTATTTCTGCACGCTTAAAAGGTTGGTAAATACAAATGAAGATGTTTCTTTTAAAATTTAATTAAAAGGTAAACAGATTGGATGGTGTAAGGTTACACTTTTATTACAAAATTACTCGTTTTAATGTACACGAGAAGTCGTGTATTGTTCTAATAAAAAAAAATCACTACTCTAAATATTGTTAACAACAGTATCCTACATATATATGGTGAGGTTTTTAAAAATTTGATCTGCCTTTTGACTGTTTTTTAATTTTAATCGTGTTATAGGATGCCATAAAGTATGTATTGTAAAAACAAATAAATCGGCTCTTGCTATGATTCCTGATAAAAATGTCAGTAGTGATTAAGAAAATTAACCCACCTCATATTTTTACAAAACAAATTACACATATTTGACAAAAATTTCACTTTTTTTTATCTTGTTACAGCCGCACGGAATATCTTGTAATCTTTAATCTACTTTTAATAACCTCTTTCTGTATACTAAATATTTTTCCTTAAATAAAATTCAGAAATATTTAAAGCGGTAATCAGAATTATAATTAGCGTTTTGAGCCTAACAACTCTAGGGAAGCTTCATCGTAATGCATCAACTACCAGATTTGAATCGCGACCCGCTGAAGAAAACCGACAAGAAACTCAAGAGGTTGATGAATATGGAACAAGTGGATCCACCTGGACGTGTCTGGCTGCTACGCGAGCCGGGTCAGGGTTGTAATTAGCGATAATCATGGTAGAAGTATTGTAGAAACTATTTGGTATGGTATTAACAAGCGAAGGACCTTGCAGCAACTTGACATAAATAGCTAAGTTCACGCGGTGTAATTTATGGATACAGTCAATATATTTTATAAATATGGCCATTAACAACAAAACAACAAAAATTTATACATCCTCTTCAAAATAAACAAAATTAAAAACTGACAGGTGATACATCCTAAAAAATTTCCATAATTAATTATCGTATCTGAATCTCCTTTCAACTTGAGGTCAAAAGGAGTACTTGATTGATTGTTTACATCAAATACATCGACTGGTTTCTAACAAATATTGTTTTATTGACATAAAGAAAATATAAAAATCAGTTTTAGCATCTCATTAACATAAAATAAATCGTGAAATTAATTATAAATGCGTTTTAGCACCAAGTTTAAGCTGCCTATGAACAAAAATTATCATAAACTTTTGGTAGGTTATTCCAGATAAATAAAATTAAACTAACGTTGGGTTTGTCCATATGGCCTGGCGGATTATCGTGTTTGCCCTGGAGATAGTAGGTCATTAGCTGGCCCTTGCCTTTGACCGCAACTAGACCACGTTGCTCGAAGTAGTAACCAAACTTCTGTAAGATCTGGCATGTCTCCTCAGTAACCTGAAATAATTCAAATGTTGAACATACTACGTAACATTTAACTACGATATCTCCTCTTATTGTTTAAAGTAATGACTGTTCTTTTCTGTTCCTTGTTACATGAAACACGTAGGAATATTTGTTTCAACATTTGCTTCAACATATAAATCTAATTTTTATTTTTAGTTCATGTAGATACTATAATCTATAGGTCATAAGAAATATACTATAGGTCATAATTGGTAGCTTATCCGTTTATTAATGCAAGACTGCGTTTTTAATTATTTTTCTTTCAATATACTTAATCTGGCCATAAATACTGTTACAATTAAAAATAAACAAAATATTACATTTGAATTTGGAATCTGTCATTTTTATGTGATCGCTCATTGAGTTTTCTCATTTTGGCGCCAATAAATTGTACAATATTTTGCGATATTAAAATGGAGTGGGGTGATAAAGAGAACCGAATCGCTGTGATCGCATTACACAAAGTAGGTATGGAGCCAAATGCTATTTTTAAAACTCTCCATACGCTTGGTATTAGTAAAATGTTTGTGTACCGGGCTGTTAATAGGTGCAATGAGACCTCCTCTGTTTGTGACAGAAAAAGATCTGGCCGTCCACGTAGTGGTCGTACGAAAAAGGTGCAGAAAGCAGTAAGGGAAAGAATTCGAAGAAATCTTGTCCGAAAGCAAAAGATTTTATCTCGGGAGATGAAGATAGCACCTAGAACCATGTCGCGTATTTTAAAAGATGACTTAGGACTTGCAGCCTATAAGAGACGTACTGGTCATTTCTTAATTGATAATTTAAAAGAGAATAGGGTGGTAAAATCGAAACAACTACTGAAGCGGTACGCAAAGGGAGGTCATAGAAAAATTTTGTTTACGGATGAGAAAATTTTTACAACTGAGCAACATTTTAACAAACAAAATGACCGTATTTATGCTCAAAGCTCTAAGGAAGCTTCCCAATCAGTCGACAGAGTGCAACTTGGGCACTATCCGACTTCAGTGATGGTTTGGTGGGATATTAGCTATGAAGGAGTGACCGAGCCATACTTTTGTGAAAAAGGTATCAAAACATCGGCACAAGTGTATCAAGATACCATTCTTGAGAAGGTAGTGAAGTCCCTTAACAACACCATGTTCAATGATCAAGAATGGTCTTTCCAGCAAGCCTCGGCGCCAGGTCATAAAGTTCGGTCTACGCAGTCTTGGTTGGAAACGAACGTTTCGGACTTCATCAGAGCTGAAGACTGGCCGTCGTCTAGTCCCGATCTTAATCCGCTGGATTATGATTTATGATCAGTTTTAGAGAGTACGGCTTGCTCTAAACGCCATGATAATTTGGAGTCCCTAAAACAATCCGTACGATTGGCAGTGAAAAAATTTCCCATGAAAAGAGTGCGTGCTTCTATTGATAACTGGCCTCAATGTTTAAAGGACTGTATTGCAGCCAATGGAGACCACTTCAAATAAGTTTTTTATACTTTAAATTGTTTTATATTTATGTATTAAACTAACACACTGTAAAAGTAATAAATGTTATTTGCAATAGATTTTTTATTTTTATTGTAACTGTATTTATGGCCAGACTAAGTACATAAATGAACATTGTTTGTTTATCATTTATAATCTTCGGCTAATATTGTAGTCTAATCTCTTTTCACCCAAAAACATATAATATTATTAAAATAAATTTATTATACATTAATAAATTAAATTATGTTATTAAAGTAAATTTGAAAATGCCTTCGAAATAATAAACTTATCCAAAAAGAGAGATGAAGTGAAATATAAGGTAAGAGAGAAAATAAAAGAGAGAGAGACTTATTGCACACCAAACATAATTATCATTGAAAGTAAGTCAGGCAGGTATAATTTACACAATAGGCGGGCTTATCGCCAAAAGCGGTCTGTTCCAGACATCCGTTTTCATCTAGAGAAGCTCTGAAAAATATATGGCAGGTGTGTTGCGGTGTACTGCACGCAATCAAAGCAAATAAAAGTTGGTAACTGAATGTTTACCAATATATTATATGAATGCAAGTAGGTAGGCCTGAATACATAAGCATTACGCCCCTAGTTATATCGTAAATGGCAGCAACGCTTGTTGTGCAACTGTGAAAGGTCAAAGCAGAAAACATCATCAGTACACGAATTTAGGTGTCGTTTTCCTTAAATATGCAACCCTCCTTAATCAGCACTTCAACATGTTATAGATAATCTTATTTAGAAAATCTATTGCAAAAATCGAGATATATATAATTGCTCAATTTTAATCGATTAGCAAACAAACGATTTAGTACATAGTATGAAATTGACTTGTATATAAAAAATATTTAAGCGCGCTTCCTTATAGCTAGCCTTCGAAAACATTTTAGACAATTTATAGATTCCATTCAAATTTGATGTGGATGGTGGATAAGGCAAATGAGGTTGAGACAATTAATTTCTTTAAAAGAAACAAGTTTTATTTATTAACATTTTTTTCGGGTTATTATCTAATACGTAAATATGTACATAAATGCCGCATATGTAATCAATCATTCATAATATGTTGACAGCGGTTTAGTGGTGCCTTGATTTCTTACCCTGAGATGAGCTGAATGCTCGCAGTAAGCCAGTAAAAAATACATAGCACTTTGATAAATTATTGTCATTTTCGTATTTCATCCACAAAAAATGCATTTCTTTAAACGTTAGCAGCAATTATGATTCTCTTATTAAATTTGTAAAAATAAATCAATAGTTCTACTGATGTAAATGTTCTACCTAAATTAATCTAAATATATAAAAATGAATTGCTGTTCGTTAATCTCACTAAAACTCGAGAACGGCTGGACCGATTTGGTTAATTTTGGTCTTGAATTATTTGTGGAAGTCCAGAGAAGGTTTAAAAGGTAGATAAATATGAAAATGTTCGGAGTTAAATAAAAATAACAATTTTGTTTTTCCTTTGATGTGTCCCCCGTCGGTGTTCTTTTGTTTGTTTTAAGTTTATTTTATACAAAAGTTTAGGTCTTTTATTTATCGGTTGAGGCACTACGAAGTCTGCCGGGTCAGCTAGTATACAATATAAAGATTTAATAAAAACTTTACCTGAATGCAGCCAGCTTTTCCGGTACTCTCCATTCGAGAAGCGACATTAACTGTATTCCCCCATATGTCATAATGTGGTTTCCGAGCGCCGATCACACCAGCAGTAATAGGACCGTGGTTGACTCCCATGCGAAGTACAAAATGATTGAAAGATTGTTCGTTTATTGCTGCGAGGACACGTTGCAATTCCAGGGCGAACTCAACCAAACAAGCGAGATGAGCCCAGCGCACCACCACGCCATCTGATGGCTACGACAATGTAACGTGCAATACCATTTATTTGATAAACTAGGTACCTATTAAATTTGTTAGGTCGAATAATATTTTTTTTTTTAAATAAATAAATAATTATTTAATAACAATCACGCCACGTTAACTAGTCCCGTGCTAAGTTCGTAAAGAACTTGTGTTACAGGTACCAGATAACGGAAATAAATGTAAGATTTTTATTATACACAACCATAAGCCTGGATAAGACATTTATATTTATCATACAAATGTCTTCCCTTGGCGGGATTCGAACCCACGACCCCCTTGTGTAGTGACCATGTCACTTACCACTACACCACACGGTCGTTAATTATTGTTGAGTTAAGAATCTCATTTTATAAGATTGTTATTGTTATAAAATGTATAACTAGGTTTTGTGTAAAATACAATCAAGACGTCGACCACGAGTCTCAAGGTGGGTAGCGGCATTTTTGTTGTGATATCTATGGACTCCAGTAACCACTTTACACTAGGTGAATGGTGAATTATTAAATTTCTTTTTGCATACATTGAATTTGACATCGCATAATATTCGCGGTTGCCGCATTACGTATTCACGTTCATCGCTGTGAAACATCATCTAATAAATTGTTAACGGATAAGAGCATGCATATTTTCACGGTTAGGCTACTTCTCTGTTCCTAGTTGCTACTGATCTATCGTAGACAGGAAATCTATCTAACACATCTATCCGTCGCTCTTTGCACACGATTCAAAACAAATATTGTAAGATCATTCTCAGGCAAGATCGTTGTTTTATAATTGTTGCATACAGTTTTTTCATCTGACCTTAACGTTTAACACTTACAGGCCTTGCTTAGTTTATTTGGTTTTGTTGATAAATGTAACAGTTTGACTTTATAACATATTTTGATATAACTACTTTAAAAGAATGTTTCAAATAATTAAATTCATATCATCAGTCCAGTTGAATACTACGATGTATCTGTCTCAAAGAACTCATATTATTAACTCATTTACTGGTGGTAGGACCTCTTGTGAGTCCGCGCGGGTAGGTACCACCACCCTGCCTATTTCTGCCGTGAAGCAGTAATGCGTTTCGGTTTGAAGGGTGGGGCAGCCGTTGTAACTATACTGAGACATTAGAACTTATATCTCAAGGTGTATGGCGCATTTACGTTGTAGATGTCTATGGGCTCCAGTAACCACTTAACACCAGGTGGGCTGTGAGCTGGTCCACCCATCTGAGCAATAAAAAAAACCTTATATATTTCCATTGAAAGTTCAAATTAATTCTACTTGTTTATTTAATTATCTATTAAAACGTTATACCTGCATTTGTCTTGTAGGATTTAGGCCGGACGCTGCCATGTATGTGGAACTAATAGTTTTTATCTTTATTATATCCTTACTATATTTAGGGTCTTCCAGCAGCTGAAACCAAAATACGACAAGTTCTTAAGTAAAATTAAATGATTTGCATTGTCTTGTCTTTTCATCTAGCGGATAGTTCAATTATATGCTAAAATGATCTACATCTATATAATATATCTATATATATATTAAATATCCTGTATACCTACAGGAAACCATCGTTTCTCAAACTTTTGTACCGCGACCAACTAAATACCCAAAAAGTTCAATGATAGCCAATCAATATTCACAATAAGCCCAACCTTCCGCACAAAGGCCGGTTGGAGACCACGGTGAATATTGTGGTACAATACTGCTGCTGCCCATTCTTTGGGGAATCTATGTGCGCTTTTTACGAAGCCCATGTAAACTGTTGGGATGATTCTATTCTAGGCTTAATATATATACACGAATAGAACTTATCCATTGAACTTAATGCAATACTGATTCAAATCTATGCATTTATTATGGTGAACATTTTAATGTACCTACACAATGTACTTAACTAATATTGTTTAGCGTGTGGTACATAAAATGTATTATATACAAGATAATGAACATGTATTTTAATGCACGAGAAAGCAAAAAAGATTTCCTCGTTTTTTTACTGTTTGTGTGTATTTAGTAAGATTATGATATAATAAAGTTTATTAGGCACTCCTTCTAGCGCCATCTGTTGAGAATTGATTGCATATAAATTTTTTCCAATTTGTAAATTTACTATTCGAATTAACCGAATCACACAATAAAAAATGTGATATTTAAACTAGATTTAGAAACAGAAATGCTTAGACCACTAATATCCACTGTTTTTTTTTTCCATGGGTACATTTATTTAATTGTGTAGGTATTTACCATAATGTAGGTCAACTATAACGCAGTAAAACTAATAAAAGACTTACTAATTTATTTGAACTTAATTTAATGTTTCAATACTTTTAAATAATATACTTACTAAATCGAAATCTGATATAACTTCGTTCAGAAACCGCAAACATTCTAGGCCTTGATTGTTAACTGTTTCCTCCGAGTAAAATTCTGAAATAATGCTTTACATTATGTTTCGATAAATACGTTTTTCCGCATCATCGTAGGAAAAATTTGCTATTTTATTTAGCCTTCGAAGGTAAACGGGCATGTGCCCGGTAAGTGGTTACCGTCGCTTATTTTAACCAGCAGTGCGATGGGCATAGCTACGTCATCTCGCATCGGTGTTCGAATCCTGCAGGCGGGTACCAATTTTTCTAATGAAATACGTACTTAACAAATGTTCACGATTGACTGCGACGGTGAAGAAATAACATCGTGTAATAAAAATCAAACCTGCAAAATTATAATTTGCGTAATTAGTAGTGGTAGAACCTCTTGTGAGTCCGTACGAGTAGGTACTACCACCCTGTCAATTTCCGCCGTGAAGCAGTAATGCGTTTCGGTTTGAAGGGCGGGGCAGCCGGTATACTGTTAAAAGTGAGACCTTATTTACATTGTAGATGTCTATGGGCTCCGGTAACCACTTAAGACCAGGTGGGCCGTGAGCTCGTCCACCCATCCAAGCTATAAAAAAAAACAAAAAAATTAAAAGGCGAAACCGCGGAGCACCTCTTTCTTTTATTAATGCTTCCATTACAGAATAAATGAAATATGTCAAAAGATACCGACCGTTAGTATAGGTTTTCATCCATTTCTTGTTCGAATTCGTGGTATAAGTTACTTTTAAAATGAGCGCAGGGGTAGGTTGAGAGGCAGGCCAATGGCGAAGAGTAGGAGGATAAGTGGTCATTAAACTCTAAGAGTTTAATGAGAGTTTGGAATGTACCGAACATTAATTTCGACCATAAACCATAACAACATGACAAAGGTGGCCTATTCTTGAATAGCGTAAAATGTAGCAATTCAAATATCACTAATCGTTAGGAAAGACTTTATATTAATGTGACAGTTTGCTTTTGCGTGATATGAAGATGTTGCGACGCTCTCATATTTTACACATAATTGTGGATTATTCGGTCAGTCAACGACACAAGAACGTACCTGTAAAATTGGGCATCGAGGCAAATAGAACCCCGACTTCGGCGTAGCTTTGACTGTAGAGGTCGCGATGGTGGTGTCGTGCGCCCATGAAGTGCGTGGCGACATGCGGCGGGAGCACGTTGTGGATGAGCTGCTGGTTGCGACGGCGCAGGTCGCTCGCCTGCTCGGCTTGACCGCGCATGCGCTCGCCCCGGGAGTGCCGGGCGCGCTCTAGTGACTCCAACTACGTATTAAAATTTATTATAAACTAGCTGACCCGGCAGACTTCGTAGTGCCTCAATCGATAAATAAAAGACCTAAACTTTTGTATAAAATAAACTTAAAACAAACAAAAGGAATCCGTCCGACGGGGTACAAATCTAAGGAAAAACAAATTTGTTATTTTTATTGAATTCCGAGCATTTTCATATTTATCTACCTTTTAAACCTTCTCTGGACTTCCACAAATAACTCAAGACCGAGATTAGCCAAATCAGTCCAGCCGTTCTCGAGTTTTAGCGAGACTAACGAACAGCAATTCATTTTATGTATATAGATTTATTACTAAACAAATATATATACATGAATCTACTACAGGATCGGAATCGCGACCCGCTGAAAAGATACGGCGAGTAACTCAGCGGGCTGATGCTTAGGTTAGGTTGCACGCTCAACTCTTTGTCGAGTTCAACGAGTACGGTTACCAGAGTCCCTGAGCCTGCTTCTAGTGTTAGAGCTAAAGGCGTCTAATGCAACGTTTATTGGATCTGATGGATCCGTAACGACGTGTCTGGGGCGTCCTAATCATAGACAGGCTTTCTGTTTTTCTATGTATATTACAGCCAGAACAGTCGTATACTTAGGTAGATAGTACTGTAAAGTAGATAACCATCGAATTGAACTGAAAGAGAGAGAAACATAGAAATATAATACTATATACTCATACATAAAATATTTTCTGCAATACCTGCAAATCAAAAGTAGTCGTTGATGGCCGGATACGTTATTGAACAAAATCTATTTATATGTGATAGTTAAATCAAGGAATAGACGCTATTGATATGTATTTGGAAAAATAACCAGTCTCAATATTTAAATGTAACGTCAAATTGGTACTTGGATATCTAAAGAAACGCGGAATGTTAAAATGTCGTAATGGTCATACCTATCACGATAAATAGTTTTCTATGTTTCGTAATTTAGCAACAAAACTGACGCTGTAGCTACGAGATCATACCCATTGACATATACTGTTGGAATATAACCCTCCTTTAGTTTTACCGAATTCGAGTTTAATGATAAGCTATTAATATATAAGTACATGTTACTAGTAATAATAGCTCACGAACAACGTATTAAAGGTGTTAAGGAAACATTGAAATAGCTAGTATTTATAGTAGTTGAAAACATAACCATTGATGTAAACAAACTTATTAATAGCAAACGTCGATTCAAATGAGATTACACGCACTCTGTACACGCGAGTGAGCGCTCTTCAACGTGTCGAAACTGGGATTTACTCTATTTAACGTACGTACAGTCACGATATGTGCAGTTTCGACCGTGTAATCACTACTTAATAAAATTATATTGCTAAATTCGTATTCGGTATTTCGTGTTTCTTATCTATACATATAAATAAAATTGGAGTATCTGTTTGTAATATTGAAATAGCCTCTTTTTACTACATGCATATGAAGGAATATATTCAAAACAACATTTTTTACAATTTTTGTCTGTCTGTTTGTTCCGGCTAATCTCTGGAACGGCTGGACCGATTTTGACGGGACTTTCACTGATAAGTAGCTGATGATATAAGGAGTAACTTAGGCTAGTTTTTTTAGACTAGCTTCGCCCCGCGGTGTCACCCGCAGTTATTGTCGTACCGCGCGCAACATGGCGGGACTCGCCTATCAATAATAAAATTTAATGTTTCCGAAGCGAAGCGAGGGCGGGTCGCTAGTTTCTAAATAAAACTAACTATGATTAACATTGATTCTTTGTTGTATTTGAAACATTCATTACGTCTGTGAACACTTAAACGTGGCAAGTAACAGTATTAATCACGATGAAATTCTCAAACGAACCAAACATTTAGGTCATTATTTGTTTTTATTTATTTACCACATTATTTATTTAGTTTAGCAGTACTTGCGTATCTAATAAGGGAAAAATTTACAAAACGATCATTAGACCTGTCGTGCTATATGGATCTAAGTGTTGGGCGACGAAAGTAAAGCATGAAAGAGGAGTGCATGCGGCAGAGATGCGAATGTTGAGATGGATGTGTGGAGTGACAAGAATGGACAAGATAAAGAATGAGTATATCAGAGGAAGTGTGAAAGTGGCCCCGGTAAGCAACAAATTAAAGAGCGGACGGTTAGCGTGGTATGGACATGTGATGCGTAGAGAGAAGATGCATGTGACTAGGAGATGTATGGAAATGGTAATGCAAGGTAGAGGGGGAAGAGGTCGACCGAAGAAGACATGGATGGAGTGTGTGAATGACGATATGAGAGAGAGAGGAGTGAGTGTTGAGATGACGACCGATAGAGGAGAATGGAAGAGAAAAATTAGCTGTGCCGACCCCATCTAGTGGGATAAGGTGGAGAAAAAGAAGAAGTACTTACGTATCTATTCAATATTAGTATCGCAACGACAATGAAGAACAAAAGCAGTAGATTACGGCCTCCATGAATTTGAGCACTGAAACCAGATATAAAAATAATTCATTCAGAAATTTGAATTGCAAAAATATTAAATACCAAGTTTTATTTTGAATCAAAACTTCAAGATTCCTTTTACGTTTTGTTGAACGTTGATATGCGTCAATGTTCTACGAAATTAAATACTGATCCACAAGTCACAACTCACAATGCAAGCATGTCACCTTGAGTTACTTAAAATATGACGCATTCTTGCAAACCTACTACATTAATAATTTACCAAGAATTCGTTAAGGGGGAACGTATTTTGGACTCCGTAAATGTTTTAATTATCAGCACGAATAGTTTTTATTTTACTTTACTGAATCTTGTTGTCAATATTATTTAGATAGCAGCAATAAGGAAAAATATTTTATTCAAATGTTACCAAATACCATAGTGAATTATTTTACGATTTAAATTGGTAGGTGGAAATTAGAAATTTATTTCTAGATTTTTGAAACCTTTCCGGGACAATAAAACGTGGCTAACCTTTGAGTATGTGAGGAATTAAAAGGAGATATCATAAAGATTTTTTTTATTGCCCTTGTAGGCAGACGAGCATACGGCCCACCTGATGGTGAGTGGTTACCGTCACCCATGGACTTCAGCAATGCCAGGGGCAGATCCAAGCCGCTGCCTACCGCTTAATACTCTCCACAAGCCTCTTTTAAAGAAGGACATATCGTAGCGCTCGGGAAACACCGTGGAGGGGAGCTTATTCCATAGCCGGATGGTACGTGGCAAAAAGACCTCTAGAAACGCACTGTCGATGAACGCAGTGGTTCCAGATAATATGGATGAACTCTGCTCTGATGGCGGGAGGTGCGATGATAAAAAGGAGATGCTAAGATTACGGACGGATAGAGAAATAATAGTAGCAGGCGCAGTCCAGGACTTATGTCAGTATCTTCTGCTTCATAGTTGTACATAGCATCCAGCTCGTGTAAGATCTTTTGAATCATAAAAGCCTTAACTAAGATTAGTGCCCTTGTACTCTGTATCCTTATTGTCGTGTTTTTTCTAACAGCTGTGTGTACAAAATATATCTATACTAATATTATAAAGAGGAAAGATTTGTTTGTTTGTTTGTTTCGAATAGGCTCCGAAACTACTGGACCAATTTGAAAAATTCTTTTTCCATTAAATGCCGACATTGTCCCTGATGAACATAGGCTACTTTTTTTTATTTTTTTTTTATTATTTTTTTTTGGTTTCATGTGTGTTTTAATGTTTCCGAAGCGAAGCGAGGGCGGGTCGCTAGTTAAATAAATAAATAAAATAAATAAATATAAGTATGAAGTAAGTAAAAATTTGTTATATTGAAAAATTCGGAACCGTGTACTTACAGAGCCATAAACAAGTCTTCATCGTAATCTTTAGAGGCGTTAAACGGCAGGCGAAATGGGTCACGGTCGAGGCTCGGACGCGAGGCGAGCAGCGCGGGATGCACCACCGCCGGCACCACGTGAGCCAACGCCAGCGCTCCCAGGAACACGAACCGTGACCATCCCCCCATCGGAGACACCCACAAAGCACCACACGCGGCGCCCGCACCCACCTACATTATACAGTAGGACAAATCGATCAAGAATGTACTTTTTTTGTTCATAGATGAGCAGGGTTTCACAGCCTAATGTTTTTTTAATATTTTTTTTATTTCTTAGATGGGTGGACGAGCTCACAGCCCACCTGGTGTTAAGTGGTTACTGGAGCCCATACACATCCACAACGTAAATGCGCCACCCACCTTAAGTTATAAGTTCTAAGGGCTCAGTATAGTTACAACGGCTATCCTACCCTTCAAACCGAAACGCATTACTGATTCACGGCAGAAATAGGCAGGGCGGTGGTACCTACCCGCGCGGACTCACAAGAGGTTCTACCGCCAATGTAAAGTACTTACAACGTGGACACAGTAGCCCGCCTTAAGACCCAAAATCGAAGTCAGTATTATATTGTATTAAAGACTGCCCTACTCATAATAACCATATCACCAGTAAAACTGTAGGTACCACTACAAAATCTTTTTTTTTTTTGTGTTGATGCTGATTCTTTGTTAATAATTTGCTGTTGATGATATTTTAATACAAACTAAAAAAGCTATGTCGTAAACCAACAATGTTGAAAATGTAAGGGAACACAGACAATTGAGAATATCTTAACTTCGTCAATATGCATTCCAATAAAATCAAATGTATTCTGCTGAAATGATATTGCAGAATTGAAGAATTAATGAACTTTCCAAATGACTAACATTTTTATCACCTTTAGATTTGGCTTCACAACAGTAATATGTGTCTTGACTTTCAAATGGTCATAATTTAAAAAAAAAGCTTCTATTATGCCGATGTATGTCTTCATGTTCTTTTTGTATGAAGGATTAAACATATCGATATGTATATAAACATTTTAATGGTGACTGTGTGGGTTTACAAAACACACAATTTTGGTCGTAAAATAGTCATATATTCCGATCGAAGAGTGGATTTATTTTTAATCAAAATACTTGAGACTTTGATCTCATCGCTTAAGGTGGGTAAAGGCAAGCTAAAATGTTTACGGAATCTATCAACAACATAATATCAGATAGGTTCGTTAGTTTTTTTCAATAAAAAGTATGTATATAAATATTAAACATAACTGAAACAGCAAATGCGCGTCCTCGTTCGCTCTGTTGAATAGTTACGACAGAATAAATTAAATAGCTTGTGTTATGTAAGATTCTTGTTTAGCCAAAATGTAGTTAGTACCTATTTTCACACGTTTCCGATAATTCCTAATAAATGCATAAAAATATTGTATAGCCCCATCTCCGATTCGTCTGCATAACAATGGATCCGAAATAATGTGAAAGTCTTGAATACTTACGTGATAGTAATATGAGGGGTGAAGACAGCGTCTCACGCTGAGATGTGACATCGAATTATCTGAAATTCCACTGTCGATCATTGACTCAAAACTGCCGCAGATGAGCTGCGGAACGAAAAGTTTCACTACATTAAATTTTAAGAACTCGCAATTACCATGAATAAATTGCATTTGGCTCTTTGTGAATTTAAATCTTGTATATTTTTAGTTGAAGAACACGGTTCCCGGTCTAGCATGAGCGCTGGAACCGAACAGCTTCTTACACTTTTGTTGACCCAGTAGAATTGTCAACCCAAAGTTTTATACTTGATTATTTTGGGTTGTATAATAAATAAAGTGATAGTTAAATTTTATTTGATAATAAAGATTTGTAGTAGAATTTATGACCGTTTCGGTTTTGGGAGTGTCTTCTTTTAGTGATGTTAGAAAATCATGCCTAGATCAAAGCTTATTTTATGCCTCTGGCTTCCCATGAACGACGATGACTACTCACAATCTATTGGGTTTCGGACCCTTGACAGCAATAAAATAGTCCATGTTGGATTATTCATATAATCAAGCAAAAAAAATTATTAATGCTAATAGATTAGTTTTAAAAAAAATTAAAATACTCTTATCCGAAGTAAATTGAACATTCAGTATTTACCAGAGGAGCAACGTTTGCCGCGACGAACATGGATATATTGAAAATACCACAGGTAACCTTCCACTGAGGGTTGATGTCCCTTTTCTGCAAATATAATGAATAACTTCAAAAAGTGGTTAACTATTTATTGGTACAAACCGATTTTAAATTGGACAACTAAACTACATTACATAAAATGATGGAGGTATTCATATTTTAGTAGTTGATGGGCAGATTACGAAACCAGATTATGACATTTAGACATTTGGTTAAAGTCATAATTGTACTGAAATAACAATGGATGCCCTACCCTGCCCTTGAAAGGTTTTTGGGTATAGAAACATTCTCCGTAATCAACTCCTAGTTGTATTTAAAGTCCCCCACGAATGATTATCTACACACCTATTTTTCATGCTCTCCGGCTTAAAGCTAAACCACCTTAACTAAAACTGGTAGTAGGTAGGACAGGTACGACTGAATTACAGTATTAAGACGTTTTCCTCACGTGTTAGAATAGGGTGCGGCATTCAATTTAGTGTGCAATAAAAATAATCATAGAATTTGTTTACTGACGTAAATAAGATATCGAATTAACGGTCCACGTCGTCATTACCGATAACAAGCACCATTAGACCCCCAAAGTGAATTAACTTGAAATAGCGGCTATCCTTCCTTCCTTCCTTATTCCTTCATACTACATGTAAAATCGAATAATCTACTTTGTCACTAACATTGATGGACTCCTAATACAACAATAGATTTTTATGTCGTCGTTATGAAAGTGTAACTGACCTAATTGCTAAGACTTTTAGTCTATTCGTACTGAGTCTTACTTTTTTTAAATAAAAGATATGCTTTATATTTTTTTTGGGATTCATCAAGCTCGCAAATTGATAAAGTTGCATATTTACTGGTAATGGGTACTTATCAATATAAGCTTCCATCTCATGCCTCATTGTAGTGGAAATCTGTATGAAGCATAAATGCTGTGATATCTGTGGGCTCTGGAAGCCTATTAGATGGATTCTGAGCTCTTCTGCCCGTGAAACTGTCAACAACTCAGTTGTAGCTGTACAAAAGCTGTACCAAAGATCCTATTTGGTTCATAGCACAACTGTCTCTGCTATTATGGCTAAATAAAGCCACGGATGTGTAATATCAAAAATTCTATTTAGTCCCTACTACAACTATATCTGCTATTATGGCCGACAAGTAAATTATCAACAGGTGCGCAAAATTTTTCTACAATATAATTAATTTCAGATTTTTAGTGAATAATAGGTACATTGGAAATCCGGTAATCAAATACTGCCATTGTCTCTTTTAACGATAGCTTTATTTATCATTTAAGAATAAAATGTTATCAAGATTTTATGATTATTTTCTAATTCAGGGGTGCGCTTTATGTTTATGGCGGCCGAATGCGGCCATTAGTTAATTGATCATTTTGGTATGATGATGAAATTTGGTATCTTGTTAGTGCCATTAAGTATACGTAATTATAACACACTGCTATGAATCTATGGATTATAATTTTCTTATGAACTTACCAAGAAAAATTTAAATTTTTTTGTGTGTTTTTTATACTCTACAATCAGCATGAAATATAAGCTTATGTGACAATTTGAGCATGTCCTCCGATGAGGGTAGCTCCTAGTCAGTAAGTCATATACATACATATATTTATAATACATAATAAAATACATTGATATATCCTTTCGCTTTGTCTATTTATTATAACTAACATGAATGTTCCTTTAGCCTTCCCTGTTAAGTCTTAAGCTTAAATCTTAAGTTAAGTTTATCAATTTCCTCCTTTATTGTAGTACAATCTGTATACCAGTGTATTTCGCCGTAAATAAAAAAATCGATAAAATTGCACATAAACCTATATTATTGCTGCAGCTTGAATGTTACATTAAAACAAACCTTATATTGTGAGTATCTGTAGTGCACATAATAGATGATGTTTATAAGGCCTGTCTCCAAAACAAGTGCCATGTAAACAGCACTCAATGCCCAAGTAGGGGGAACCGCAAAACTAGCGATTGCGACCACGGCCGGTAGAAGCAGAACCGGAGGAGCCGCGAGCGCCAGCGGACAGGGATCGTTACGGTTCACGAAGGCCTGCTCAGCCTCGGAACCCTTGAAAGTAAGGCACAATGTTGTTGCGTCCGCCAATTCCCTAAAAAGCAAACATTTAAGATATAAACGCTTTTTAGCTTGCTGTTTGAATATATTGCATATATTCTTATATTGTATTTATTTTTCACATGTGTATATAAGTATATATTTTTATGTAAGTATATTAAGATATAGCACCATCCAGTTTGCTTATTTCTCTCCCTGCAAGGTTGTCTGGAAGATATCGGTTTCAGCGATAAGGCCGCCAATTTATGTCATCGACTATTACTTGTTTTATATGCTTACTCTGTACATGTGGTATTAAATAAAGAGTTATATTATTATTATGTGTATTAAACACTGCCTCGGCTGAGAAGACGGCAGGACACACTCTGGCGAGGTGGGCAACAATCGACCGGAGCGTTAGGGACTATTTGGCGAGAAACCGGCGAACTATACGTGCATTGTCCAGCAAGACTGCTTTTTACATTTGGGCCACCACCGACTTTTTTATTTTTATTATTATATTATTAAATTATTATTTCAAATATTTTATTAATTATACGGTATAACTTCGATCAATAATTGATCGAAGCAGTATAACAAACCAGATTAGTATCCAGTTGTTTGGTATTGTCTTGCATATAATTTTTCTCTAGTGTGCTCAGTTTGTTAGCTTAATTGCGATGCACAGTTTCGTTGAAAAGTGGACCATTTACTTTATTTACTCACGGAGAGTATAAGTTACTAAAATGAAATAATTTAATCCACGGGGATTCTATGATACATACAGAAACATTGGTAGTTGAAATTTAAATTCCTGTCGAATATGCGCATTATGGAAATAATTTAAAAACATAAATGTTTATTATTCGCGCTAAGTTCACGCAACAATTTTTTATTTACATTACCAACTAAAATTTTGAATAGATGTCTAAACTATTTATAAAATGTTGTATCCCGTTGACGTACAAATAAACATAGTTTAAAATATTTACATTTAACTCAATACATTCAAATTACCGTGGTCGAGTGATAGGACTTTAGTAAAACCATGTTTCTTTTAAACACCTAAAGCAATGATATCTACACTTACCTATCATCATCTCTATTAACGAGTTCCTCTTCCAACATCAAGAGTATCTTTGATTCTTCGTTTCCTTTTTCTTCGTCTTGTGGTGAAAGAACCTACGAATAATTGATGAATCTTTTCTATGTGATAGATGAGCAACGAATCCATAAAAAAACATTAGGTCATGTGTAGGGTCTGAATATTTAAGATGTAAGAGAGAGTGAATAGTTTGTTGACAGGTATGCACATACATATTTAGCGTAGATAAGTATGAGTGGCTGTACGCCTAGTGGTCCAGTGTCCCATTTATTTAAGCTGGCGAAAAGTGGAAAGGGGTCGAGGTCGAAGCGCGCGCATCCGATGTAACAGTAGTAGTGCACTCACCGAGACCTCATCGTCGTCTCTGAGGTCAGATAGCGTGTCAGCGAGCTCTCCGCCAAGCGCTTCGTTTACCGTCGCAATCTTTTCTTCGCCTCCCTGGTACTACACAAAATAAAGACACAGCTTTAAACACATTTCCATAATCAATACTATTTTTTAAACATTGTGTAAAAATAAAAAAATCTCTAAAATAGACTAACATAATAGACAGATAATGCCGGGGAGTTACGGAACGTGCTAGAAATGTTAAATATAGGCCGTAGTTACGCAATCATTATTTATTTATTGTTACAATAAATCTGCCTTAGAATAGTTTTAAAGAGTCACTTCGTCTCAGTGAGGTTAAGTTGACAATTTACAAAAAATACGAGGAAATTATAAAAAAACCTACTACCTACTATTTTCCTGTTACATTTTCACCATCACCTATCTCGCTATTGCAGTGAAATAAAACATGGTATTATGGCGTTTTAAAGTCTTAATATAAATTTTAAATCCAAACAGCTTTAATACAATTGTTTCAATAGTTATTGCTCACTCGAACGAACAAAACGGGTTGCATTAACACGGATGAACAAATGCTTTAAACACAAAAACAAAAAATCGCTGTTCAAGATAAGCACCTCATACAGATTTCTTTCATTATTAATGAGGGTAAATTTAGTTGACTGTATTTTTTTTTGAATTAATTTGTATTGCTGGATATTTTTTGCACTGTTGGAATCCTTTAAGATATACAAATGCCATCTATTGGATATTGATTTTTTTTCCCTATAACATGTGGGATAGAAAAGAGTTCCCTTCCCACTTGGTTGCCAGTATATTTAATATGCATCAACTAGCCTTTTATTAACATTGTTATAACCTGATTACATTTTAATTTTGCAATATATGAAATCAACACTTTATATTTTTCGGCTATATAATGTTAGAAGATGATAGATACCACGAACCGAGATACACATAAATTTGTCGTAATATGTTGTATGTTGTGTATGTTGGTCTATATTATCGTTCATGTATTGAAAATTTATCCCGCTTCTCTGAACTTAATTGTAGGAGCACTCGATCGACGGCTAATTTGATAACTGTTAGGCACTTATATCGTGAACATCTGTTAATATGCAATTTCCGAAGTGCGGAACCTTTGCACATAGCAATGTTTACTTAAATACTAATCTACGTAAATGTCTATAAAGTATCTCTGTAGGTACATTTAAGATTTCCACCGAAAAATGATTGCGATTTGGTGTTTAGTTTCACCCGACCCCAAATCACTACTTTATGCGTTTGTTTACAAGATTCTTCGTTAGACCTAGTAAAGCCAAAACAAGGAGCGGTCCAATTTCAAACTAATGATGTTTAATATCGGATTCCGAAGACTGGGCAAGGAGGAGCTTAAGTAGGAAAGCGGACCCTGGCACTAGACCGGGAAAACGCTAAGAAGAAGAAGGTATTTAATATCGGGTAGACCCAATGGTCAGGGACAAGCTTAAATAGAAATGATTTTGAAATGTTGCTATGTTTAAAATAAATTTCACAAGGCGTTACCTGTTTATTGTATGTACATATATATTTTCTATAATAATGTATTGTCTTTAGTACACCGCAACATACCTGCTATATTTTTATATTTTCCAGAATTTCTGTAAGTTAAACGGTTGTCTGGAAGAGATCGCTTTTAGCGATAAGACCACCTATTGTACAAATGTATCTGCTTTTTGACTGTTTTTTGAATGTAAATTGTGTTTTGGTGTGCAATAAAGTGTATTCTCTCTCTCTCTCTCTCTCTCTCTCTCTTTCTCTCTCTCTCTCTCGTTACCTAACCTAAATATTCCTTAAATATTCTATCAAAATATTCGTCAAAAGGGAGAGATTCGATAGTTCTAGTGCTATTTAGGTGTTTGTTCTCAACGCAACAATCCCTTACGTATGGCCGTCGGCTTTAATCGGCAGCCGATATTGGTCCATGAACTTCTGTAAACGCAGTTTCAATTTTATGATAGTCACTTCCTGTATCACATATCTATAAATTAGGAATTTAATAACATGAATTATCAATATATATATATATATTATTTTACTGGTGGTAGGACCTCTTGGGAGTCCGCACGGGTAGGTACCACCACCCTGCCTATTTCCGCCGTGAAGCAGTAATGCGTTTCGGTTGAAGGGTGGGGCAGCCGTTGTAACTATACTTAGACCTTAGAACTGATATCTCGAGTTGGGTGGCACATTTACGTTGCAGATGTCTATGGGCTCCAGTAACCACTTAACACCAGATGGGCTGTGAGCTCGTCCATTCATCTAAGCAATAAAAAATAAATAAATAAAAAACCTAACGTCAAGTATTATCTTACCGGTTTCAAAACTCGTACAATGAAGTAAGTTTTTATGCCTGACTGGCGCAGCATCTCCTCGCGGCGCTCTCCATGCGCGGGTTCCACTTCGAACTCATCGTTCAAGAAACTTAAAGTAACTTCCGATATATGAACGCGCCTGCGAGTAATTAACATGGTATAATATAAATATAAACGAAGTTTAGTATGAAACAAACTTTTAGAAATTGAGATCAACAGTAAGTAAAGTTTGTAAAAGCGTAAATCATCACGAACTTCGTAATATCTACCGTACCTAAAAAGCTTTCGAGTAATACCGAGGTTATTATATTTGCGTACGACGAGGAAAGGTGCATACTCTTGGCCTAGAGTTCAGCACCTATTAAAGCTTATAGACACCGCAATATAATTACCAATGCCGTAACTACGTTTTGGAGTCATCTTGGTCTAAAGGAAAAGACGTCCGATGCATTCTTATCTAGCGATGCAACGGTGCTCGAATCCCGCAGGCGGGTACCAATTTTTCTAATGAAATACGTACTTAACAAATGTTCACGATTGACTTTCACGGTGAAGGAATAATATCGTGTAATAAAAATCAAATCCGCAAAATTATAATTTGCGTAATTACTGGTGGTAGGACCTCTTGTGAGTCCGCACGGGTAGGTACCACCACCCTGCCTATTTCTGCTGTAAATCAGTAAAGCGTTTCGGTTTGAAGGGTAGGGTAGCCGTTGTAACTATACTGAGACCTTAGGACTTATATCTCAAGGTGGGTGGCGCATTAACGTTGTAGATGTCTATGGGTTCCAGTAACCACTTAACACCAGGTGGGCTGTGAGCTCGTCCAACCACCCAAGCCATAAAATAAATAGAAAAAAATAAAAAACTACTAAATTTTGGAACCATGGTTGTCCTAGACTTTGAGTCGACTCCCTTGATTGTTTCGTTGTAGAATGTAATACGGCATTAACGGTTCCTTTCAAAACAATACCGAATGGTAAATCATGTTACTTTTTATTAAATGCTTACCCAGCCATTCCACTACTCTCCATCTTATTGGCCAATTCCACATCTCTTGAATAAACATCAAACTGCCACTGCCGCTGACCCAGGACGCCAGCCAATACCGCTCCTGTATGTATACCCACTCTCATATCCACCGGTGAGTTTGTGATTTGTTGTACGTATCTAGAAATTTCGGCCACACAATTTTTTGTTTACCATCCAATTGTAACATAACACCCAAGCGAATTCAATTTCTTAGAAAATGTATACGTTATTATATAAATTATATAACAATATGTTATCTTATTATAAATCTTATTAGTTGACCACTTACTTAATAGCTTTAACCATAGATAAGCCCATGTGCACACAGAGAACGGCATGATCAGGTCTTTCTACCGGTGCGCCGCTAATGCAATAATAGCAATCACCCAGAATTTTGATTCGGAGCTGTTGATATTTCTAAACAAGACAAACATTTTCGTCAGAGTGTTTTTTTTTTAACCAAAGCGAAAACAATAAATTCGAATGATGCATTTACCTCGGCGAGTCGATCGAAACGGGCAAATAACTCGTTTAATATCGCAACAAGATCTTGCGCTGAATATGTAGACGAAATAGCCGTGAAGCCTACGATATCTGCATACAGGATACTGTAATTTCAAATAATAAAACCACAGTAAGCAATATACGGATTGCGTCACTACATTAATAAAAGAATATTATGGGCACATTAACATACCTCACGTTCTCGTGTCGGGACATATAAATTTTTTTGAATTGAGTGTCGATAAGCCCTAATTCCTTGCGCATTTGGACAGCTACATGCTCCGGAAGTACGGATAGTAATAACCTTTCCTAAAAAGAAACAGCGCTAGTTACTACCTACTCATCGAATTTTACAAAATGCTATCTATTGTAATCTAGAGATTGTCAGGCGTTAAAAGCAAAATAATAAAGAAGACATAATAATAAAGAAGATATCCGAATTAATAACTGTTCCTCATAAGTTGAAAAATTGTACTTGTTTTTATGTAACTTGCCTTGCGTGGCAAAACTTTCCCTGTTATGTAAAAAAGGACGTTTCAACACGATTATAAAACAAAAGTTTTAAAGGTATTTCTTATTGCATTTGACGCACAAGCAGGTGGCCGCCTACCGGATCGGCACATATATACATCAGTAATGCCAGAGCCACAGACAGACTGAGGACTCTTTTCACCGTGTACTTTACACAAGTACCATGAAAAGGTTGATCATTTCGGAATAGTATGATACTTTTTATACTGCTGGTAGGACGTCTTATGAGTCCGTACGGGTAGGTACCACCCTGTCTATTTCTGCTGCGAAGTAATGCGCTTCGGTTGGACGGGGGGGAGGGGGGGGGGGGTTGCAGCCGTAGTACTGTATAAACGGAGACCTTGGAACTCATATCTCATGGTAGGTGGCGGAATTTACGTTATAGCTGTCTGTGGGCTCCGGTAACCACTTAACATCAGATGGACCGTGAGCTCGTCCACCCACCTAAGCAATAAAAAAAATCTTGTCAAAAATGATCTCTAGAAAGTTATTGTGAATGTAACGCAAAAATGGATGAACTCTGCCGAGTGTCAGGAAGTACGATTGTGAGGCGTCATCTCGTCGCTTAGCGAATCTGTCGGCCGATCTTCGGTCCGTTGAGGCGGTGCGCCAGGCCTCAGCGGGCTGGGTGAAGCGCGACCGAGGGTGTCTCACTTTCCGTTTGACGCAAATGCTCACCGACCATTGTTGTTTCGGCCAGCACCTGCACTGGGTCGCTTAGAAGGAACCGACAATAAAGTGCCACCACGATGGCTGCGATGAGGACACGGCCGAGCACACTCTCGCATACTGTCCGGCATGGCTGGGACAGCGCCGTGTCCTCATCTTGCAAATAGGACCGGATTTGCGGCTGCCAACCGTTGTGGCTACGTGGTTCCGCATCGACTGGTCCTGGAAGGTGACGCAAGACTTCTGCGAGTCCATCATCTCGCAAAAGGAGGTAGCGGAACGAGAGAGGAAGACAATATTTTTATATCATCATATCATATTCATATTACATTTACACATCTCAATATTTTTATATTACTTTGCAAGTAGTCATATAATTTAAAAGCTTTTATGTGGCTCTTTTAACGAACATAAATTTATAGTGCGTATGCATGGTATGTTAAAAGGTTCAGATATATTTTAACATGAACTTTTAATACGTTAGCTATGTTACGGTCCCGACTCTAGACGGTACGGATTATGTTGTATCGTAGGTCAATATTTTCTTTTTTCTATAAGCTTTTTAGGATAGATTTCCGGCATACTAACAATTTAAGAAAGGTCGCGCGCTAGTCATTTCTAATAAGCGAGAAATGTAAAATATTTATGGAATTAGAAATGCGCGGATGGCATTCACTTGCTTAATATTTTTTTCTTGTCATGGTGGATGAAGGAGCTCACGGCCCATCTGGTGTTAAGTGGTAAACGGTACCCATAGATATCTACAACGTAAATGCCGCCACCCACCTTGAAACATGATCTAAGTCTCACTCAGTTTTTACAATAAAACGGCTGCCCTACCCTTCAAACCGAAACGCATTACTGCTCTACGGTAAAAATAGGCAGACTGGTCATGGTGCCTACCGGTGCAGGCTCACAAGACATCCAGACACCAAATAAGATCAAATTAAAGTTTACCTGTTCTTTGCTTTGTTGTTCAATAGTCAATTTGTCTCGTAGACTTCGCTTGGTCTCCTGGAAAGAGCATCTCTGGTTTCTTTCACTAATTGCATAAGCGGTACCGCCGAGGAACGTGGCTCCCAGTAATAATGTTCCATTTGCAATTTGCTGTTGAAGAGTAAGGTCAAATCGAAAATAAAATTCTAATTTCGTTGACCTAATTGACGCGACAATCTATATATAAGTAGAGAAACACAAAAGAGTTAAGAGTACCATTTTCTGCTTTCGTTGTCAACCAATTTTATTTTCATTTATTTAGTAGCTATTTACGAGCTTTAGTCTTTTCAATATAAGAATTCATAGGCATTTTTTTTTTAAAACGGCATTTTTTTTTACTTTAAGAATAAGTATGAAATATGGACATTAAGATTTAAATCGAAGAACCTGTTACCCATCTACGCCATTATTTGTGTCACAAAATTTGAACTCTAAATAAATAACTATAACGTTTAGTCTTACAAAAGGACGATGTCAACTTTTTTTTATATCTTTTACGTACAATTTCAAACTTTTGATCCTGGAATCTATGTTCAAGTACATTGCTATTTGGTAAATTAATCAATATCAGCAGCAGCCTACAAACCTCTACATACAGACATAGACAATATTTAATTAATATTTTCGCATTTAAACATAATTATAGAGCCCTGAATTGGTTTAGTGTGTATATCTTATTTTTTAAATCCTAAATATTTAAGAATTAAGATTAAACATTTGTAACTACGAGTATTTAAATAAACGTACCTGGAAATGGAAATCATCGGCTAATGTACTTTCTGCTGTTAAAGCGTTGTAATACTGCACCAAAAGATAAGTAGACAGGGAAACGGCGCTGTAGAATACCATCAGCAAGTAATGAAAAGGCATTGTTGCAAGAGTAAAATATTGCACGACAACAGCCCATCCTAGTAGTTCATTATAAGAGTCGCCGAGTCTGCGTGAAGTACTGAATAGTAATTGGAGCCATAATGCCAGCCATGTTATATGCGTGAGGGCTGGCCGAGCTTTCCGTATGCAAATATAGGCTGCGGCTACCAACAAGTTCAAGAGCAACGCTATCACAACGGAACAGTATGCCACGGATAAATCACGTTCTCCGGGAACTAGTACAGCGAACACTTGAATCAGCACTCCGATAGCAAGCAAACGGGGAACAGCGCGCTGTCTCTGTCTTTGGATGTAAGCCGAGTATAGCTTCTCTTCCTCCAGATCCGTAAATCCCCATGGTGGTATAAAGCAATTATTGCACGAACATCTTTGTAAGACTTGTCCTTGTAGTGATTTCTCCATTGCTTTTATTTTTTAGCCATCATAAATATTCGTGACCACTTACTGTTCACAGCTAAAATTACGTTGTTACACTTAAATTTAATACTGACTATTGATGATAATAATAGTGTCTACTAAATCGTCAATCAATTTAATAACCTAAACGTCGTGATTATATGAGTAATCGCCTGTAAAATTTCAAGCACATAATTATTACTCGAGGAGCGTCTGTCAATATTAATATGTTAGGAGTAATAAGAGTAGTAAGTAATTGGACACTTGTAAATTTGAGTTTACTAGGGCTTGTTTTGAATTCGTATAGGTAGGCACATGAATCTGCCTATTTCTGGCATAAAGTAATCATGCATTCTGGCGAAGATCACAGTAATACTAAAATACAGTTAATACTTCAGCCTCATGACTTAAGGTCTTAACATGCCCCTCCCGCCATCTCCAGTGGAGGGCGGAAGTCCGGCGATTCCATCCTGATAAAAAAAAAATCTTAATGTCGGACCTATGTTGAGATATCATTTTGAGCTTCAGATAACACGAGACAGTGAGAGCGAGGCCCAAATATATAAATAAACGTAAATAACTATCAATGATAGCATTGACTTTTAATCAGAGAACGAAAATTATTTCCGTTCAGTAACTTACGAAAATCGACTTAACATTATTAAAGCAGCTCAATCAATAGTATACATTATTAATTCCTTAAAGGTTGACGATCAATACAAAGTACGAACGGATATATTCGTCAAGAGTGTTCGGAAAACGCACACTCGGTGCTTTGGAATTCCTAACCTTTTCTTAAAAAAACATAAGCAGTAAAATTTAAAACTCTACAGAAGTTAACGTACAATTTAATTCCTATTATAATTTAGTTTGAATTAACAAATAATATCATTTTTATTTAAACAAAAGCCGACTACTTAATCGTTTTAATGTGAGTTTTGAAATTGAGGCGACTGTTCGCCTCAATTTCAATACAAATATCAAAATAATCGTTTACTACGATTTTTTACTATTACTGCGGTAATTTTCCCTATCATTCTATGGTAATTATTAAATGTGAATTAAAAATTATATTAACATGTACAGAGAATCTTATATTAAAAGTTTCTTATAATAATAGTAGGATAGTAACCCTTACTATCTTTAACCTATACATATTATACCTATACATATTTAACCTTTATATTTTTTTTATTGCTTAGATAGGTAGACGAGTTCACAGCCCACCTGGTATTAAGTGATTACTGGAGCCCATAGACATCTACAACGTAAATGCCGCCACCCACCTTG